ACCTACTGAATGAATTATAAAACTGCAGCCGTGGCAAGTGCCAAAAAGGAAAGAGACCGTGTAGTGGGATGACCTTCCCCAGTCTGGGAGGTCAGGGGAAGTGTCCCTGCAAACGTGACCTTGGGCTGAGAGCGGAAGGATAAGTTCTCATAATTGAGGTGAGGTGTGGAGGCCCTGGGTGGTGCGCACAATTAAAATGCTCAGCTGCTAACCAAAAGACTGGAGGTTTGAGTCCACCTACAGGTACCTCAAAAGAAAGCCCTGGCAATCTGCTTCGAAAAAATGAGCCATTGAAAACCCTATGGAGCACAGTTCTACTCTGACACACGTGGAATCGCCATGAGTCAGAATCGATGGCAGCTGGTATGGTAGGTAAAGTGTGTGCACTGGGGGAGCACAGTCCTTAGAGGATGTGGCGTGGGCGGGGGGTCAGTAGTGAGGAGAAGGGTGAGTGTGGGGCTGGAGTGCAGTGGGCAGGGAAGAGCGTGGTGTGAGAGGAGGCAAATGGGAGACCACCAGAGCCTTGGAGCCGTACCGAATTAAGAACAAGTAGAGTCTTTGGAGTACTTCCAGCAGGGCCTGGCATGATGGGATTTGCACTTTAAATGATCACTAGATGCTATGTGGCAACTAGCTTAGAGGGGACTGAAAAGCAATTTAGAGAGACCAGGAAGAAGGCTATTGTAGTCATCCAGGAAAGGTAGGATGGTGGCTCGGACTGGGATGGGGGCAGAGGAGAGAAATCAGTGGACTTGAGAGGTTTTTAGGTCAGAAGCATAGGCCTGGTGGTAGAGTGTGGACCTGAGCGGTTGGCATAGGGGAGAGGAAGGTGTCAGGGACAACTGCTGTATGGCAGATGCTACTGGAGGTGTGTCAGGGAAGCCTGGAGAAGGACCAGGCTCTGGGAGGCAGAAATGATGAACATGCTGAGGTTGAGGAGCCTCAGAGACATACCAGTGGAGGGGAGATAGAGACCTGGAGCTCACCTGAGTAGTCTACATGGGAGATACAACTTGAAATTACCGATGATCATCCTGTGGATGGTAATTAAAGCTGTGGTCATGGATGACCCTGCCTTTGAGAGAGGGTGGGAACAAGATCTAAGCCAGCATTTAAGGCTGAAGAGAAATGAACGAAGAAGACTGAGATGGAGTTGCCAGAGAACTAACAAGAAACCAAGAGAGTGTGGTATCAAGAAGCCAGGGAGTGTTTATGGGAAGAACTAATGTTCAACAGGTCAACGACTCCTGAGGAAGGTAAGGTGGGGGGTGAATGCCCTTCACATTGGCAGCCTGAAGGTAACTGATGACCTTCGCAAGCCTTGTTTATGGGTACAGTGATGGTAGCAGAAGCCAGACTGAAGTGGATGGGGAGTGGGAGATGAGGAAACGGAGACTTCTGGCAGCCCTATCCTCCGAGGAGTTTGGTGGTGAAGGCGAGAAAAGACAGAGCAGTGGCTCGGGGGCAAGCAAGGTCTTCTGGGTCTCTGTCCACACCCCTTGTGGCACCTGGTTGGCAGGTACTACTCTCATTTTGTCCTTAAGGCCAGGGGGGTCTCCTGCTTATGAGTCCTCAGGTGTCTAAAACATAGCAGGACCTCAACAAATATTAGACGCTTTTGATCATGAGAATGACAATGACAATGAAGGTGATGACGAAAAATAAGGATTTTTGAAGATCAGAAAGTTTCCTTCCTTAGAGATTAAAAGCACAGCTAGACGCCCCAGCAAGTACCCCTAGTAGAAGTGCTTCCTATGTCTCTGGTTGACCCCTCTCAGTCTCCTTTGCATTTCTTGTCTCTCTTTCTTTCTTTTCTAGCTACACTCAAATTCCTTGGTGATCTCAACTCTGACGTTAAACTCCATCCATGTGCCAGACTTCCACATTTTTAGCTCCAGCCCCAACCGCTCTCCCAAACTCCAGACTTACCTGCCTACCTGTCATCTGGACTATGATGTCTAATAGGCATCTCAAACCCAATGTGTCCAGAACCAAACTCCTGGTCTTCCTCTCCCTCCTTCCGTTGCTGAGACCAAAAACCTCATGGGTTTTTGCTCAGGAATGACATTCATTTCTTCAGGACACCCTAGCCTGTTGCTTCTACATATATCCAGAATACGCCCACTTCTCACCACCTCCACTGCAACCAGGGTGTACAAGCCACTACCATCTGCCACCTGCATGACTGCAGTCGTCCTCCTAGCTGGTCTCCTTGCTTTGCTCTGCTCTACACATATCAGGTCACTCCTCTGACCAAAAGGAGCCCTGGTGGCGCAGTGGTTAATTGCAACCAACAGGTCGGCAGTTTGAACCCACCAAGTGTTCTGCAGGAGAAAAGATATAGCAATCTGCTTCCATAAGGATTTACAGCCTTGCAAACCCAATGGGGCAGTTCTACTCTGTCCTGTAGGGTCACTATGAGTTGGAATCAACTTGACAGCAATGGGTTGGGTTTGGTTTGGCCTCTGCCCAATACCTTCACATAGCTCCGTTTCCTTCAGAGAAAAAAGCCAAATCCTTCCAGTGACTTACAAGTCCTTTTATGATTTTGTTCCCCACTCTCTGACCTCCTGCGTTACCTCCCACACCCATACTCTGCTCCAGCCACCTCTCTGGCTTCCTTGCTTTTCCTCCAATATGCCAGTCATGCTCCCACCTTAGGCCTTGGCTCTAACTGTTCCTTCTACCTGGAACCCTCTTCCCACAGCTGTCCACATGGCTGACCCCCTCCCTGCAAGTCTGTGCTCAGATCTTACCTCCTCAGTGAGATAAGCCCTGACTACCCTACTTAATATTGCAAAGCTGCCCCTACTCCCACATTCCAGATTGACACTGCCCTGCTGTTTTTTTCCCATAGCACTTATTTTCTAACATAATGAATAACTTAGTATGTTCGTTGTTTATCACCTGCCCCCACCCCCCATATACTTGTAAGCTCCATGACAGGGTATCTTCCTGTTTTGTTCACTGTTGTATCCCCAAAACAGTGCCTGGCATATAGAAGGTGCTTACCACCACTGCTGTCAATTCCAACTCATGGCGACTCTGTATGTTACAGGGTAGAATTGCTCCATAGGATTTTCATGGCTGTAATGTTTATGGGAGCAGATCGCCAGGCCTTTCTTCTGCAGTGCTGCTGGGTGGGTCCAAATTGCCAACCTTTAGGTTAGTAGTTGAACGCAAACTGTTTGCACCACCCAGAAGTTGCTTAGTAAATACTGAGTAAAAGAATTCACTACAATAATACTTACTGAATGAATCTTTTGACAGCTGCTTTGAACTTCTGATTCCTTGACTGTCAGATAATCAGGATGTAAAATACACACTTGCCTTTCTATTTAACAGTGAAAATTAAGGTCATTTATGGAATGTCTTCCCTAAACAAGATATAGGTAAGCTTGTACATTTATGTTTTTTTTTTTTTCAATATGGTATCTTAAAAACCCCAAAATACATAAAAGCATTTCAGATGGCCTGATGGACATAATCATACATACAGCAAGACCACAGAGCGAATGTGAACACTGCCCTCTCATGGTTGAATGTGATGGTGGCTGCTGCCTGTGAAACAGGCCGGGTCAGGGAAGTCTTTGAACCCTTGTGGCTGTTTGGGGTTGAAGGATATAATGTTATCCAAGACATTTCAAAAAGGACTAAATTCAACCCTGTTTTCAGAAGGAGGAATAAAGTGTCAAAGGGAGAATTTTCAGGGAGTAGAGCCCACAATTTTCCATACTGCGAGAAGGATGTTGACAATTAGCAGAAAGTAGTAAAGAAAAATGTGAAGACAGGAAAATCCTAACTTGATAACATCCATCTGTTGTACTTACAGCTGGAAGCGGAGTGGGTATGTCCCATCTGTGCTTTATTCACGGCTTTAGTGATTATAAATAAGACACATAAGTGCACAATTTGCACTGGTCTGAATGTCTTCCAGGGCCAGGAATTTAGGATGATATATATTTATTTTATATATATATGTACATTACATATATATTTGCAAGTATACTTTTGATCTGTCGCTTCATCACTGAGGCCTTAACTGTTGACTCTGTCTCTTCTGCTCAAATAGATCTGACAGAACTTTTGCAGCCTGGCCCAGCTTTCCCTGGAGCCCCTTGGGCTGTTGGGAGCCTCAGGGCCCATAGCCCTGGGTGGGCAGCACATGGGAGGCCAACAGTCAGTCAGAAGGGAGCTCCACACGCAACTATACACGCATTCTCATTTACTTCTCAAACTGACTCTACGAGTGTCTACATGGACTTTGACCCCCATTTTACAGATGAGGGGAAGTGAGGCTTAGTTAGGTAAGGTAACTCGCCCAAGGTCATGTGGTCAGTTAGCAGTAGAGTCAAGATTCAAAACCAAGTTTCTGAACCAAGGCTCAAAGTCCATGTTCTTTCCACCTTTCCCTCGGCCTCCACATTCGCCCTCCCACGTCCTCTCGGGCTATAAATAGTGGGAGAGGCTGGGATTTCAAGCATGAGGTCAGCCAGGCCTACAGCACAAGGAGATACCAACACCTCCAGGCCCGGCCTCGCCTGGGCTACCCCCCTGGCCTCAACAGAACTCAGGCCCAGACACGCCTCCACTTCTCACTTGCTTCTCTCTCCTTGGTTATATTTAGCTTTGGACCGCAAAGATAAAGGTGTGAGCCAGCCACTTAGTCACCGCACACCCCAGACCTGGCCACGCTGCTGTGCGTGGAAAGAGAAGCACGTCTGCCTCAGCCTTTTCAAAGGTTGGTGTGAGCCCCTCAATGGTGGCTATTTGCACTCTTCTGGATAGTCTGTGGGCTCTTGCTTCCGTTGCTCCTTGAGGGAGGAGCCACGTCTCGTTCCCAACATGTCTGGAATGTTCAGCAGCATCTATAATACTCTGCATGTGGCAGTTGCTTAATCATTCTTTGTAGAAAGAATAAATAATAATCTAAGCCATGCCCTAAAAATCTAGACATCAAAAAAAGATTCCCAGAGGGACACCTTTTAAAACCAAAGGTATTTCATTCTAGTAAATACAATCAAGTTTATTCAAGGAATGGACGTAAGTGTTCATCATCCTCTCCACTCTTCTCTCTTCCCTCCACCAGACCTGGCATTGAGGGCCACATGGGAGGGGGAGGAGAGGCTGGACTCTAAGTGCCATATGCAGCGGCCAGCCAGAGCGTGCAAGGCTCAGGTGCTCAGAGCCCCTGTCCCTGTGGGCACCCCGATGACAGTCCTCCTCCCACTACTCAACTCGCACTCTACATGCCGGCCTCCTGCAGGAACCTGGGAGCTGTGCTTCCATCCCACCTGCTCAGCCACTGCAGCAAACTGGGGACCATGGCTCGGTGTGGCATCCTGGGCTAGAGCTCAGGAGTGTGGATGGATCCTGAAACAGGAGCTCAAAGGGGCAAACCTGGGGGCTCTCACATCTTACAAGAATGGAAAGAGCCGCTTCTTCAGGATGTAGAGGACGGTAGCAAGGAAGAGGGCCAGAGCAAGGAAAATGAGGAGCTTGTCTGTCAGCTCCCGGCGGTTGTATTTTGTGATGAGCTTCCGTCCCAGCTGGATGGTCCCCGACATGGACTTAAACTCTTCATTTGCATCCAGGATAGTTCGTGAAGAATTGACTGAAACAAAAGAGGGAAGGAGCCTGACTCAGAGACCATACAGTGCAAAATCCAAAGACCTTGCTGGGCAGGCTGGGTGGCCGACACAGAACTCTGCAGCTGAAGCAGGTTCCTCTGAGCCAGGATAAAAGAACGTGCGTGAATGAGATGAGAGAAGAGAACAAGGGCATAACAAGGACAGACACTGCCCTAGATCCCAGCCAGCCCAAAGAATGATGTGGATTGTTTACATACGATGTCACAAGGCCATAACTAGCAGTCCTTGGACATGGGCATCACCAGGGAAACAGACAGAAGGAAGGGGCTCCTCTCCTCACCACCAGCCTGAGCCCCTGAAGCAGCGAGGTGCTGCTGAGGAGAAGTATCACCAGGCACAGAAACTAGCCCAGGTGATCATAGGAGTGAGGCTGGACAGGTACCGTGAGGTGCACACCGGGACAGAAGCCAGGAGGCAACCAGGACTTTCCATCTGTGGGGCTCGCCCTGCCAGGAAGCCTGGTGGTCAGATCTACCCCTTGCATGATCATGAGAGGACAAGGCGGGGCTGGGCCCCACCACAGGCCCTCACATATACCACTCCTTCAGTCCTGAGACTCTGGCAGTAGCTCTAAAGCTGTGGGCACCTGTGATCTGGTTACTCTTTGAAAAATATAGGAGGCACGTGTCCTTTTAAGGGCTCACTGTGCCCAGCAGTCAAATTAACTTGTGACTAAGGAATCTGAGCTCAACACTGGGGGAAGAAGCTTTACCTGGCAAGATCCTCCTAGAAAGCTTAATAAGGCATCAGAACATCCATTTAGTGAAATATGTGGGTAAGTGAAAAGGCAAGGAAGGTAAAAAGGAGTCTATGTGAAACATTTCCATTTATGTAAGAAAGAGGAGGGTACAGAATGTTTAATTTGCTCATATTATACACGCTTGGAGGATCTCAGAAGGATATAAGAGAAACTGGTAACAGTGGTGCCTCTGAGGAGTGGAACTGGAAGACTGGGCGCCAGGGGGTCTGGGGTCAAAGGGAGACTCGTCTTTTATGGATCCCCTTTTGCACCATCTAGAGCTGTGCTGACCAGTATGGGAGCTACTCCTGAACACATGAAATGCAACTCATCCAAACTGAGATGTCTGCAAGTATAAAATACACACGAGATTTCAAAGACTTAATACAAAAAAAAAAAAACCTCAGTAATTGTGAATATTAATTGCATAGTAATGCTTTGTATATATTGAGTTAAATATTAAAATTAATTTCACTTGTTTCTTTTTTACTTTTTTTAATGCGCCTACTAAAAAATTTTAAATTACATACGTGGTTCACATTATATTTTTCTTAGACAGTGACTGTTGTAGGGTTCTTCTTTTCCCTAACCATGTACACATATTAGCTTTCCACAAAATTAAAAGTCAACATGTAAATAAAAGAAATTACCAGAGGAAACAGAGCAGCATTTTGAAAAAGGCAGATGAGGGAGAAAAACAAACACAATAGAAATCCCTCTCAGCCTTCTTCTTCCATGCCTGCACTGCCATTTCAGAAACAGTTATTAAGTACTAGCCTAATAAGCTTTCCTTTTAAAAACTTTTTTATTACGGAGAATTTTAAGCCCTCACAAAAGTAGACAGAATAGTATCATGAAATGCCATATACCCATCGCCCAAACCCAAGAACCACCAACCCCCAGCAATCCTGTCCCATCCTCACTCCCATCCAGTCGTCCCCTCCACCCCCCACCCCCCACACACGTCCCTATGACTCTGAAGCAAGTTCCAGACATCATATCCCTAATGGGCTTTTAAATCAAGCTGAACTGGTGAACCATAAGGAAAGGATTAAGAACTGTGTTCTTCTCTTTCTTCAGTAGATGTCTCTTCTACAAGATGTACCCCAAGAACAACCGCCAGCCTGGGGACTCTCTTATGCCCCAGAAACCATCAGCATTTGTGTTTCCTTCACACCGCTTAAATACATTCTCTGTTCCTCATATATGTGTGTGGGGAGCAGGAAGGACGAAGTGTCCTGTCACCACACCAGAACGCAAAAGCCCATGACTCAGGGGCCGAGTGGTCGTCTCTCTTTCTCCAAGGCCTCTCCCAAGGCTCAGGCGTGCCCACAGCGCACAGAGAGGAACTGCCAGGCTGCTTCTGAGCTATGTTCTCAGATATGTTTCAAACCCATGGCCTGACCCTGGGGCAAGCTGCTTGCTTTCCTCCTGTTCCTGCCTATTCATATGGTGCATGGAAAAAACACAGTGGTGCACAATGATAGATCATTTTTGCAGGGGACAATGGTATTGCTTGGTTCTTTAAAGAGTCCCTTATCTTTTAGAGAAATACTGAAGTATTTATTACTGATGTCCGAGATTTGCTTCAGATTAATCCAGATAGGGGACAGGGTAAGGGTAGAGTTGAAACAAGATGGGCCATGAGCTAACAATTGCTGAAGCTGGGTGGTGGGTTCCTGATACCACGACCTCTACTTTAGTATGTGTGTGAAATCTTCCAGGGGTGTCTGAAGGAGTAAACTCTTTTTCTGCTTTCCTAATACTGAAGGACCCTGGAGAAAGCAGATACTCTTCTGCATTACAAGAGACACTATGAGAAAGCTACTGGGGAGAAACAGATGGTCTCAAACAGCCTCTTCTGTAGCCTCTGACTGTATCTTTTAAAAGAAACAGTAAAAATGACACTTGAGAGTATAGTTCTAAGCTGAGGTCCTGGCAGTCTTGCTGGCGGCTGACACACCACACTTCTCTTGGAGCAATAATTTCCAAACCTGCCTGACTTAAATGTCCCCAGAACCCTAACTAAAAACCAGTTCCCAGGCTGCTCCCCAAGCCCTGGACACCAGCTTGCCATGAGAGCGCCTGCGGATCTCAGCTTTTCACCAGAGCCCCTGGGAATGCTTCCGCTGGGGAAACCTTGATGGGACAGGGTGGGAGGGGGGAGGTTTCTAGTTCAACTACAGTAACAGCAGCATATCCCTACTTTGGGTAAGACCAGGCTGTCAAGTCATCTCACGAGTGAGAAGCCACACAATTCAGTGAGCTCTGGGTGAGCAGCAGGGAGGAACCCGCAGTGGCAGTACTGGCGCAGAGCCTTTTTTTGCAGCCAGTGCTCTGGGAGAAGGTTCCTACTCAGATCCAGCCTTACCTAGAGTCTGCATGGCTTCCTCGCTCTGCTGGACCTGCTGGGACATCATCCTGCTGATCCCCATGAGGCTCTCTGTGATGGTGCTGGATGTCTGGGCCAGGCTCTCTTTGGTGGTTTTCCTAGAAATCCGGTGCAGGGGGAGAAAGCATGTCAACAAAAGCCAGGCTGCAAGAAAACCCTACATTCAAGTGAGATGCCACTTTTTACCTATCGAATTGGTACAGATTTTGTAAATGACCATAGTGCTGGCATGGGTGTGCCCAAACCACACTCTTGTAGACTAGGAAGAATGTAAACTGGAATGTAACTGGGAAGCAACTTGGCAATACGTATTAGCAGCCTTAGAAATGTTCATGTCTTGGACTCAGTAATCCTCTCCCTGGGAATCTCTCCAAAGGAAATACTCAAAATGTGGACAAGGCCTTACGTTCTAAGATGTGCCCTGGTGTACTGTTTATAATACCAAAAAACTAGAAATATAAACACACACAAATAGGGAATTGGTTAATACAATGGTTAATACAATTGGTTAATATTATGTGCTGTTAAAATTATGTTTAAAGAGTTTCTTTAAAAATGGGCAAGTGAAGAAGAGCAGGGTACTACATTGTATGTATGGTATGATTTTATTTTGAAGAAAAAATAATGGGAGAAGGCAATCTACAAAATGTTCATGAGTAATACGACTATGGCTTATTTTCATTTTGTGATTCACACTTTATCAATTTACTACAAATAAGCATGCATTTCTTTCATACTTTTAAAATGAAGTTATATAATAAAATTAAATATCCATCTTATGGTAAAAACAAGGGGGTTTTCCTACAGTGGGTTTTACACCTTGCCAGCTGCTATCTATGCCACTATGAGAGCCCAGAAAGACAAAAGGAGAGGTACCTCTGCCTTAAGAGCTCTCCTCCCTGGAGAAGCTCTGCTTTCTCTAGATTGTCGATGGCAATTTTGCAAGTGAGATTTGCTTTCCTCCATGAGGTCTGATTGCTGAAATCAGAGGATTAGACGTGAGTTTCTGCTGACTCCACCAGGCTGTCAGTTCGAACCACAGCAGTTCTTTCTGGCAAGGGAGGGATGGGGACAGCCACCAGGTCTAGCCCACAGAGTCCATCACCACCTGTGACTGCTTCCTCCTCTTGGTAGCCAACGACTGCTCTAGCTCAGGCCCCAGCACCTCTCGTCTGGACTAGTGTTTACAATTGGAGTACCCTCAGCACAGGGGAGCTGAAGTCATACAACATAAAATAATCACTAATGTACCACCTGCTTATCACACTGGTCACCACTCACACCCTCCCCCTGCCCCCAGCTTACACCAGCCTCTGCCATGCCCACATCTTTGTCAGCTCCTCCTGACTGTCGCGTGTTATAAACACAGCTGTGTCTGTGAAAATAATGCTGGAGGATTACTCAAATCAGAAGCAAAGCCAAAGCCAAATAAAGATCTGGCAGAGTGAGGCCAATTAACAAGGACAGAGAGAAAACCTACGAGGATAATGACATAGCAGAGGTTTCAGAAGAGAATGATCTTAATACCAAAGTTTTGGGAAAGTTAATGGAGCCTCAAATATTTTTACAACAACAACCGTCTTTAAGATTATAAGGCAAAAAGTTCAAATGTGAAGAGAAAGGTATTGTTTCATGCTAACAGACAATTTTGTTGGAAAAGTTACACCTCCCTCAAATCAATATCAAGCGTTAACATATACATAATCAAGGATTAGCATACAGCTGCAATTATAACTGAAATTTTGGTTAATACTAAAAAAAAAAAAAATCTGTTACCATCAAGTCAATTCCAACTCACAGCGACCCTATAGGACAGAGTAGAACTGCCCCATAGGGTTTCCAAGGAGTGGCTGGGGGATTTGAACTGCCAACCTTCTGGTTAGCAGCCAAGCTCTTAACCACTAACATAACATTAGGCTTATTTATACTTTTTTGTTTCATTTTTTAAGGTAAAGTCCTATTCCAAACTTTCTGAAATTTTGATCCATCTTAAGTAGATTCACTTCAGCGGACTTTTTCTGGTACCAATTAACCTCAGATAATTGCCATGAGTAGGAATCGACTTGACAACAACAGATTTGGTTTTTTTTTTGGTTTTGGTATTACCAAAGCAGAGGCTGACTTGAAGACAGCTAACAACAACAATTACAAACGCAATCATTTTTTTGTTTGTTCTAAAAATATAAAATAACAGTATAATGTTACAAACTATACACACCTGCCTGTACACCCCCTGCCTGTCCCATTTGAAAATTACTGACCTGGAGAGAACATTTGGCCTGTGTGTATAATGACACAATGAAGTCATGACTAAACCAGGCTTATGAGGCAAACTTATACACTTGCCTCACAGAGAATCACTGACCCAGGTTGCCAGCAGGAAGCCCAGCCCCACCTACCTGAGCATCTGCTTCTGGTGATTCTCCACTTCCTGGAGCAGAGCTTGTTTCTCTGACTCTTTGTCTTGCTCTTTAGCTGACTGCTCAAGCTCCTTTGGGGGAAAATAGCTCTCTATTAAAATGACTTTGAAAGTTAATACAAAAACAGAAAAGCACTTTTGTTTCTGGCCAGGTCACACAACAGCACTTGAAAACACTTAGGAACACCAGGTAACGTATAACAAACATCCTGTAAGTATATAGCTGAGTTTGCAAGTTTGAGAACCACACACACAAAGACACACAGCTTATTAGGTCCTCACTAGGGGTCAGGGATACACGGGTGGTGCTCAAAGAGCTGACATTATGGGGTGGGAGGAGAAACTGATAAATATGTAAATGTATTGGTGAGGTAATTAAATTATTGAAGGAAATAAACACTGGGGGAACATGCAGACATTTGAACAGTGGAGAACTGAAGTCATACTGAGTTAAAGTAAGGTCTTATAGGAAACTGAATGAATCAGCTTTAAAAAGAAATGAATGCCCCCTGGACACCCTGCTAACTCAGAATTGAAACCACTCCTGAAGCCCACTTCTGAGGCAAAGATTAGATGGGCCTATAAAACAAACAATAACACACGCGAGGAATGCGCATCTTAGTTCAATCAAATATCTGAGACCATATGGGCAACTCCTGCCCGAAAGCAAGACAAGAAGGCAGGAAGGGACAGGAACTGGGTGAATGGACACAGGGAACCCTGGGTGAATGGACACAGGGATCCCAGGGTGAAAAGGGGGAGAGTGCTGTCACATTGTGGGGCCTGCAATCAATGTCACAAAACAATATGTGTATAAATTTTTGAATGAGAAACTAACTTGAGCTGTAAACTTTCATCTAAAGCACAATAAAATTAAAAAAGAAAGAAAGAAAGAAATGAATGTCCTTCAACAGAGAAGTGGTTAAACAAATTAGGGTGCATCTATATAATGGAATACTGTGCAACTATAAAAAAAAGAAGAGGAAGCTCTCTAGCACTGATATGGAAAGATTTCCAATATACAAGGTTAAAAAAGGCAATGTTTTAATATGCTATCTGTTATATAAGAATGGGGGAAGAAATAAAATATATTTGTCTTTTTTAGTATCAGAATAGAAGAAGTCTGGAAAGATACATAAGAAACAACTAAAAGTGGTTACCCATTTGGGAAAGGGGAACAGAGCACATACAGGGAATAAACACACACACCATATAAACCATGTGAAAGTAACACCCCCTCAAAAACAGAAAACCACATTTATTAAATCAGTGCTGGGGATGGTGGCAGAAAGAGATCAGCTGGCTATAGGGGCATTATGGGAATTCTGAAGTTAACACCTATGGCAAAAAGTACATATGTTCAAAATTGCCCTTGAAAATTCCTGTTTCTCAGGGGTCCAACTGGCCAGCTTTTCTGCCAGCTTTGGAACAGACCACTCTGCTGGCCTGACATTTGGGGCCATGTTGGAGGAAAAGCACAAGTCTTTAAACCCCAGTACCACACACAGCAAGACCAGGTGCCCCGAGACACACTGAGGGATGGGCAGATCCACAGCACCCACGTCACCCTGGAGGAGGGCCCAGCAGCAGAAATACCTACACTCTTCCAACTGCTCCTTCTCCCTCTCTAGTGTCTTCTGAGGCAGCGCATAAAGCACAGCTGAGTTTAGGAGTGTTAAATGTGCATGTGACACAACTGGCGACTGCAGAAACAGAAAGGAAGAGGCTGGGCACAGTAATGGCATGAAGTTGGTGATGGATTGAGGGGAAACAAGTGAATGGGTTGGAGAGGGGGGTGAGTTGTGAGATGCTGTCAAGTCAGCCCCGAGTCATAGCAACCCTATGTACAATAGAAGGAAACACTGCCCAGTCCTGCGCCATCCTCACAATCGTTGTTACGCTTCAGCCAATTGTTGCAGTCAGTGTGTCAATCCATCTCGTTGAGGGTCTTCCTCTTATTAGCTGACCCTCTACCAAGCATGATGTCCTTCTCCAAGGACCAGTCCTTCCTGACAACATGTCCAAAGTATGTAAGATGAAGTCTCATCATTCTCACTTCTAAGGAGCATTCTGGCTGTACTTCTTCCAAAACTGATTTGTTCTTTCTTCTGGCAGTCCACGGTATATTCAATATTCTTTGCCAGCACCATAATTCAAAGGCATCAATTCGTCTTCGGTCTTCCTTATGCATTGTCCAGCTTTTGCACGTATATGAGGTGGAGAGAGTGGTAGAGAAGGGACAGGAGTTGAAGTGACCTCAGACTTTTCAAGTTGAAAAATTCCAAAGACACTGCTGCCCTGCATCCACCTGTTGACACAGCTGGAAGTGAGTTCCTCATCTTTACCTGGACAGCAGGTTAGTACAGAGTCGCCCTCATTGTCTAAAGGTTTACTACTCCAGCTACTACTGAAGACAGCTCTCAAGCATCTGCTGATGCAGAAGTTAGTCCCAGGACAGAGCCCCCTTCATTGTCACCAAGCATCTTGGTTCTGTAGCCACTCACCTGTATTCTGTGCCGTAACTGTTGAAACTTCTCTTTCACTTTAGTGTTCAGTTCACTAAGTGCACTTAATGGTCCTGAGCAATCGCGAATATCCTAAGAGACATTGAAGAGAAGAAGGGGCAATGAAAGGAAATTAAACCATCTGTAGAGAGAGAGAGTTGGCCTAGACCACAGCTAAGGTTGGCCTACTGACTGTCATTCATCCCAATCTTGTTTACCTCTGCAACACAAGCAAAACTATTATCATTTATATTTTTCTCATCCCACTTTAATTTTTAGTGGATAATATAAAAGCACACCAAGACATAAAACTCTGGCTTCATCTAATTATTAGTCCCTAAAGTTTAATAAAGTAGTCCTGGTGGCACAGTGGTTAAAGTGCTCAGTTGCTAACTGAAAAGTTAGGGGTTCAAGCCCACCAGCCACTCCACAGAAGAAAGATGTGGCAGTCTGCGTCCATAAAGATTACAGCCTTGGAAACCCTATGGGGCAGTTCTACTCTGTCTTGTAGGGTCGCTATGAGTCGGAATTAACTTGATGGCAACGGGTTTGTTTTTTTTTAAGTTTAACAGGAGTCCCTGGGTGGTACAAACAGCACAAACTTCTGAAAGATTAGCCATTGAAAACCCTATGGAGCACAGTTCCTCTCTGACACACATGGGGTTGCCATGAGTCAGAACTGACTGCACAGCAACTGGCTGGTTAAAGTTCAAGAAAACATCACCTGACCAGTATAAAAGGTTTAAAGCGGCTTGTACGTCCAATAAGAATGGACATCTCAAAGCGATATTGTAACTTTAGATCTTTCCAACTTGAAAAATCGTGATGCTTACATTTCTGTCATCATACAAGATTAAGTAACATGTTCAAACCACCTAGTATAAATCATAATGTTTATAGGCATATTTAGGGATTTATAATTTGTTTCTGGTCATTCAGAATTACTAGGGCCAGGTTTTAGAGTGGCTCTAGAACCAGACTATGTGGATCCAAATTCTGGCTGTAGCAATTTATTAGTTGTGTAACCTTGAGAAAGTTACTTAAATTCTCTGTCGCAGTATCCTGATTACCTATCTCAAAGACTACGTATGTTTGTAAAGCATTGAGCAGAGCAGCTGCAACACAGCAAATGGGCAATAAATCCAGCTATCATGAATCCTATTAGCAATTATGAGAACCCAAATGTTAGAGAATACAAAAAGGGGCCTAAGCAATTTAGATTGTATCAAAAGGTCATTTTATTTGCATGAACTCTAAATTAAATTTTCTAGAGTTGTTTCAGAAGTTTTGTGGCTTATACACAGGAGAAGTGAAGTTCAAGTGTTTGCATCAAGTTTCCTCACTTGTTCTTTGGCTTACTCGTTAAATCACACATCCTTGCACCATATGATAAACCACTAATTTAGTTTATTCTGCATCTGGTCTACCCGAGAAGTCCTACTTTCCGAACTTCACTTTTTGCCATAACTTATTACAAACTCTGAGTCTACATCTAACATTTAGTGATAGTTTGTTGAAGATAAAAATTATTTGCTTAAAACTAACGTTTATATGAGACCAGAAGAACTGGATGGTGCCCAGCTACCACTACTGGACACTTTGATCAAAGATTAAAAATCCTGGTCAAAAGTGGGAAAATGTAAAACAGATTTTCAAATTCTCATAGAATCCAAACTTTCTGGAGCCATGGAAGCTGGACGAAACCCTGAAACTACTGCCCTTAGATAATCTTTAAAACTTAAACCAAAAATATCTCCTAAAGTCTTCTTTAAACCAAATAACAGTTTAGCTTAATTAGTAAAGAATATCTGCCTTGAACACTGTGCTGTTTTAAGATCTATCTATATGGGATCAAACTGACAACAGCAACTTGAAAGATTAGATAGGGAACTTAGGGGGCAGTGAGTTTGTCAACCGGGGAAAGAACAATTTGGAAAAGGAGGGTGAGAATGGTTGCACAACTCAAAGAATGTAATCAATGTCACTGAACTGCACATGTAGAAAGTGTTGAATTTGGTATATGTTCTGCTGTGTATACTCTCAACAACAAAAATAAATTTAAAAAAATAAAAGAACTACAGTTTAAACTCTGGGTTTCCTTTCGCTAAACTTAGGGAACTACATTCCCAACTCTTGCCTTTGTCGACTGATTTACTGCATTACTGCCTCTAACCTTAAGTGGCAGTTCAAGAGCCTGATTATGGGTTAAGGCAAAGCACCTCAATTCCCTCATATATTAAAGAGACGGACCCTCTAAGGTCCTTTCCCCAGGCTGACTTCCCCTGTCCCGGTCTCAGTTTTGCCACTGTCTGTCTTCGGATCCAGGCCTTTGCGCTTTACTCGGTTTCATTTACCGTCCAGGTTACACTGATTTCACCCGGTGCCTCCGTGCCAGGTGGTGCCACGGTGCACCGGGCTGGCCGGCAGGGGGCGGAGCTAATGGCCTCTGGGACGATACCGGGGGAAAGCGGGGAGAGGGTGTGAAAGGCGAGGGCAAGCAGCCACTGGGCGGGGAATAAGGGGGTGACAGGTATGTTGTGAGGTGGTCAGGGACGGGGCAACAAGCGGAGGCCACAAAGGGGAGGCTGGGTAAGGGGCGGGCGATATGGGAGTGGCCCCGAAGGGGGCATGCCAACGGCACGCGTATGGAGAATCAAGGCCAACAGTTACCGGGACTGGACCAAAAGGGGACGACATTAGGGTACTCGGTCACAGGGCGAGGCCCACAGCCTCGAAAAATTGACCAACTGGGGACAGTTCAAGAGTGAGACCGCCGAGCGCCCAGGAGGCCGGCGGAGCTTGAGTTAAGGCAGCTGAAGCCCGGCAGAGGTCTGGGAATTAGTACCTGGATAAGCGCCTTCACCTCCAGATCGAATTTGACAATCTCTTGGTTACAGATCCGTACGTGGACATCTTGGGGAGCCGCCATGTTGGGGACGCCTACTACGGGCAGCGGCGGTGCCCAAAGTTCACACCCGTTTTCGCACCGCCTTGTTTCCCTTCCGGACCCGTCTTGCCGCAGCGCCCCCTTAAGACCGACATGAGCCCGGCATGGAAACCTCGAGCTCAGGCTCCTGAGAGTCGTTTCGGCAAGGTTTCCTAATAACTAGGACTTCCCCCGACCAGTGGGGAAAATCAGCCTCGCCTCTTGGTTTGACCCTTACAAAACCAGGCAGAAGAGAAGAGAAAAATCAAAAACGCCTAACAGTGGCTTTTCCCCATCTTCGGTGATCATTCTAATTACTTTTTTAATAGAAGTGGGGGAAGAATAACTGGAAGAAAAATATTAATTGGGATGTCTCTGGGAGGTGGAATTAACAATTTTTTTATATTTCTTTAAACTTTTTAACACTTCCTAGAGTGAGTATAAATTGTGGAGTAAAAGAAAATGGTAAACGTTTTTGTTTTTAATGTATGGAATTCAAGGCAAGTCGCTGGAGCACCTTCTGTCACTTCACCTCACTGTCCGAGGGGTCTTTCTAAAACCCAGAACTGATCGAGTCACCTCCTTGCTTACACCCCTTCCATAGCTCCGGGCGGTTCCCCTTTGTGTCGAATTGGATTTATTAGCTCTACCTCGCTGGAGTATTGATGGATTAAGTAAAATAATGTAAAAGCAGGCCCTCAACAGATGGTGGCTCTTTTATTTTTATTACTGAACAGTTAAAGATTCTTAGCTGGTCCTCAAGGCCATCGGCCACCTTTCTGGATTCCTCAAGCTCTTCCTGGATCTGTAGTCTTGGAATGTGTTGTTCCCTCTTCCTAGAGTGCCTTTCCCCATCCCCTGCCCCCCATCCCACCCAATTTTCTTCAGCTCACTTCAACAAGCATCAATTGTGAGGGTGTGAGTGCCTGTTTCTCTCTCTTAATCTTTACCACCACCCTTGAAATAGGTAATACTCTAGTGTTATGGATTGAATTGTGTCCCTTCAAAAAATATGTTCTAGTGCTAACCCGTGAATGTGACCTTGTTTGTAAATAGGGTCTCTGAAGATGTTATCCGTTAACATGAGGTCATACTGAAGTAGGGTGAATCCTAATGCAATATGATTGGTGTGTATTTATAAAAGAGAAGAAACACAGAGACAGATGAAGGGAAGAGGGCCATGTGACCACAGTTGTGTTGTAGCCGCATGCCAAGAAACATGGGGCTACCAGAAGCCAGGAGAAAGAACCCTGTCAAGTCAATTCTGATTCGTAGGACAGAGTAGAACTGCCCCATAGGGTTTCCAAGGAGCAGCTGGTGGATTTGAACTGCCAACCTTTTGGTTTGCAGCCTAACACTTAACCACTGCGCCACCAGGGCCCCAAACCCAGGAGAGACAAGAAAGAATCTTCCCCTAGAGCCTTCAGACAGATTTTGGCCCTGCTGACACCCTGAATTCAGACTCCTAGTCTCCAGAACTGTGACACAATAAATTTCTGTTCTTATAAGTTATCTGATTTGTGATTTATGGCAGCCCAAGGAAACAAATACACCCAGTTTTACAGATCAGGAGACGGACTAAGTAGATTTTAAAAACCTGCCCCAAGGTTACTCAACTTGAAAGTAGCAGAGCCTTACCTGAAATTCACATCTTCTCTCAAAACCCAAATGTGGTCCTTGGGTAGTGTTGTATAAGCTGGGCTATGTGACTTGCTTGCCCATCTGTGTTCCTGCAGCACTGGCACACCCCTCCCTTAAGGCGTTGTCACCCCCCTGCACCTAACAGGCAGGGTTATGCAAGCTTGGGCATCTGCCCCGGCTCAAATTCTGCTCTACTTGAATTTTGTTCTACAACTCACTTGAGGACTGTGTACCTCATTCTCATCAGAGCCTAACACCTACTTCACAGGGTTGGTTTGAGGATTAAATGATATAATACATGAAAAGCACCAAGTTCAATACCTGGCATATGGTAACAGCTCAATGTGCATTCGCTGCTATTAATATATTACTGACATTTTTTGAGCACTTCTTATGTGGCAGGCACTGTGTCCTAAGTGCTTTATGTGTTCATCTCATGTAACTCTCACAACCACCCTATGAGGTAGAACTATGCATTTTAAGATAGAGAAATAAGCACAGAGAAGAACAATGACTTGCCCAAGGCCACAAAACAAATGGAATTGCTAGGTCAGAAGATACATGCATTTAAAAATTCTGGTACCAAATTGCTCTCCATGGGAGTTATATCAATTTACACTCCCACAATGTGGTACAAATCCGTTTTCCCACCCATGGTCTCACCAACAGTGTGTGTTAACAGTTGGATTTTTGCCAGTCTGATTAGATGAAAAACGCCATCTTTTAATTTACATTTCTTATCATAAATGACACTGAGGATTTTTTCCTGTGTTTAAGAGCTATTTGGATTTACATTTTAGTTTGCTCATTTTTCATATCAGTTGCTAGGAGCTCTTTAAATATTGGGAGGATTAGCACTTAGAGATGAGTTGCAAGCTTTTTTCTGTCTATAGAATTTTGACTTGGCTTATGGTCACTATGAGTCAGAATGGACTCAACCACAATGGGTTT